CTCTCTCTCTCTCTCTCTCTCTCTCTCTCTCTCTCTCTCTCTCTCTCTCTCTCTCTCTCTCTGTGTGTGTGTGTGTGTGTGTGTGTGTGTGCGGCGGGTGGCACTTTGAAACGGCCACTTTGAAATTGCGCGGGCCTGTGTGAAACCCGCCACCCCCAAAACCTGCAGTGTCTTGTGTCCGGGCCTCTAGGCCCTGTCCGGTGGGGTGAACCGACACTGACACGATATTTTTCAAGGGGCGGCCAGGATCCGAAAAACGTCCTGGGCCGCCCTTTTTTTTGTTTGACCTGGGGGCCTCCATCCGGACATCACGACCGGACACCGGACCCGGACATGTTGTTCCGGACTTTCTGGAACCTGGTCCGGACGTTCGGTCGGTTACCATGATCATAAGACACTGATCTTCTTTTCACCCTCTCCTCTTCGTTTTTTCCCCTTTGCCCATCACATGTTCACTAAGCGTTGTCTTTTTTTTTTTCAAACGACCAACCAGCAAACCAGTCTTTCTCCCATGTGACTCCCTTTTCTTGCCTCCTTCGCAATTCTCTTCTTCTTCTCATTCTCTGCTGCACTTCTTATCCATCTCCTCCTTCTGCCTCCTTACTTCTTTCCTATGCTCGACAGAGATGAACATTATGTTCATCTGACTTCCTCATTTTGTGTGTCCTTGTGGCCCGCCCTTATAGAGCGTTCAGCATGAAACATGTTCCTCGAAATTTAACACACGTGTGAAATGTTTTTTGAGTTTCCATTTGCCTTCTGCCCCTCCCTAATAGAGCTTTCAGCGTGAAACATGTTCCTCCAAGTTTTAATACAAAATGTGTGAAATATTTTCTGAGTTTCTATGTGCCTCAGGTGCTTGAGTCGGCAAGCAGGTTACTCCCAGGAAAGTATCTGATGTGCCATGAGGCAAGCAGCCCTGCCATCGACATATACAAGGCTATGACTGAAGCGCCTCATGTGTCTGGATCGACAGCAGCTGTTCTTTCAGGTTCTTCAGTTCCTATGCCGGAAGGTTGGCTTCCATCGGAGATTCTCATGCCTCAGGTGGATGATCAACAACAAGGATCTAGTGAGCAGACAATTTCTGTTGACAACCAGGAATATGACCTATACACGGCTCATCAATCCTCTGGTGTAACAGATAGTGAGAATGTGCCCATTGTTCCAATCAAGTGGCAGCCAGATGATCCAAGCGTCCCAGTGAGTTCCTGTCTCCCTTTTCAGCCATTTGGAATGTTTTCTCCATTGCCCTGCTCACAGTGGTGAACTTTCCCTACTGCTCCTGATCCTCTCTTTTGTCTTATGCACAGGCCTGAACATGCAGGCAGGTGGCAAGCAGGTCACCAAGCACGCACACACACACAGACTTAGAAAACTCAGCAGAATGCCCAGCAAGGCATCCGTTCCATCGGCAGAACTCAGAAATCAGCAGTGTTCTCAGTCTGTGTTATGGCGGTTCATTACAAGACATACCCATTTTTTCAATCATTAATAATCCATTACTTTTTTTTTAAAAGATCTTGCACTTTCTGTTTAGATATATCATTTTTACATTTAAGTTTTTTAAGTCTTTTTTTGAGTTTTTTTAAGTTTTTTACTTTTAACTCTAGTTTGGTTAGGAATTCTGACATGACTCCGAGGCAAAAGTGCTTTGCATTGTTATTCTGCATAACATACTTTTTTTCAGATTTTTTTTTTTTTTTTTTTTCGATGGTCTGGACATTCCCGGACCTGCTTACCGGTCCGGACCGTCCAGAACCATGCATGTCCAGAAGTCCGGATGTGTCCGGAAGTATGGACGTCCGTACCCGACTGGACATGCGTCCGGTCCCCGGACAAGAGCTGCCCGGGTCCGGGTCCGGCGTAGCCATGTTGAAGTGTCATGAACTTAGTCTCTTATCCTCTGTAAAATATGTATTCACTTATATCCTCCGTAAAATATGTATTCACTTATCAGGTGTAATATGTACCGTCATCATCATCATCATCTCATCGTCTTGGGGATTGTGGCTCGAACCTGAAGATGATACCTTGTCATTAAATGCACGAACATCAAATTGAGTTTGTAATCATCATCCCAATCATCACTCAGTTTCATATTCTGATTCGGTGTTCATTTCAACACCTTTGTTTTGGCAAGTATTTGCCCATTCTAGCTGACGTTCTGGGGACCATCTTCCATATCTTCCACCATGAAACTGTGGCAGTGCACTGTGCACTCCCTAACCCCGCCCCAAACTCCCTTCTCTCTCTCTCTCTCTCTCTCTCTCTCTCTCTCTCTCTCTCTCTCTCTCTCTC